CGAACAGTGGCTTATTGTTAGCAGCAGTGGCCTCGGAATAATAGTGAGGGCCTCGGAACTCACGTCTGAAGTTAGGAAAATAAGTCCTGATTTGATTAAACTAGTCCCACCGCTAAAATACGGTGTCATGTGTCGCTTCCATCTACTGACCCGTAACAATAGTCCCTCAAGTCCATGTGCGGTTATTTATGCCAGACGTGGACTTTCAATAAGTCAGAAAAAGTTTTAATTTTCTGTACTTCACAGATCATCCGTCGTTCCACTTGTGTCCGTTATTGTGCAGATATCTGTAATCTTCTTAATTGGAATATCAAATTGCTTGTTCAATCCCTGTAGACTGTAGTTGGATTGAGTCATTAATGATAATAGATTTTGTCCATGAAGCAATTAAAATCTTTACTTTTAATTTACTTGCGTGCAGATCATTTCATAAAAAAATCCCAGTAGATTGATCAAAGCATGAGAAGTAAGCAGAATCTTAATCCTAATTCTATTGGGAGGAGACTAAAATAGAGTAGCGTATCAGAAGGTAATACAAGTATTTATAAGTAGCTTACCAGAAGCAAAAAGTCATTACAAGAATTTAATTTCACGCCAAAATTTCCAGCATCTTCCTCTTGCTCCAAAGTAACCTTTCCAAGGCTTACAAGAGCTGTATATATAACAGACGATAACATTAGTAACTTAATTGGATCTTCTAATCAATTTACGTAAGTACATGGAAATATGCTCTTACTTTCAGGTATTTTTGGGTGTTAGGAAAAGTTTTCAACAGCTATGGCAATAAATGTGAAAAGGTCAGCTGAAAAGGCAAAAAATGGGACATGGGCATGTTGAAATTCCAAATGCTTTGATCCTTTAAAAGTTCATTACCTCGGAAATCTTGTTTTCCTCTACAAATACTAACGAAATCTCAGCATGATAGATGATATATTCGACCACACCAGCACCTAAAAACCACAACTAAAGGTTATGGAAAGCAATTCTCCATTTTTCTCCTTTTATCTCTTGATGCATAGTTGGAAGAGGCAAGCAATAGGGAAAGAGGAATTACCTAAAGTATCATATAGCGGCAAGCAGTAAAGACCATGAGCATTGCAGGCCTGCATAAGATAACAATTTTCTAATTGAGACATATGCAACAGACTAAGAACCAAAGAAATCATATTTTTCTCAGACAAATCCAATCGCACGTTGACAGACAAATGAAACGAAATGTAGCAATGGAACAACTCAAACCACTTAAGAAATTGTAAACTTTGGAAACTATGTGATGAAGATCCCTCAAATGCTTGCTTTGTCTCTCTGTGCGCGACTCTTATACTTTGTTGAACATTTAACTGAACACTGAACTGTAAATAAATTGCTTTGCAAGAGTTTTGTGTGGTGACATCTTTTCCACCTTAGAACTTAATTCTCGTGATTGAGTGCTTTTTTTAACTGAAGTAAGAAGACTTTTGATCATCAATTACCTGCATACTTATCACCCAATTCGAGCAATTGGCACCGCAGATTCCACATCTACCTCCCTACACGAGCACATGGATCATTCAATGTAAATTGTAAAACTTCCAAAACAAAAGTTAAATGCAAGGAAACCACATTTCCATAAAATAGGATCAGAACTTTTAGACGAGGTGGTTTAATAAAGTTGAAACAAGATAAGTGTAATCTTACCTGTTCAACACGACAACTGCGAATGGAGACTCCAACTTGTAAAACTAAATCATATACTTCTTTGTAAGTTAACCACAGATATTTACCAGCTTGCAAATACTTGAAAACGCAGTAAAACATCAGTAGATAGTAAAATCTGAGTATACTTCAGTGGGGGAAAAAGAATACTGATCAAACATACATTCCCATTAACAATTTCGAGCTCACCAAGTATTCGGTGATTCGGTTATTTCTTTACAGATTCACTGCAATAGGGGAGCCAAAAAATCATATAACAGTGCAAAATTTTAAGTAATTTTAACTTGAAATAATGAAAAAGTTCGATTATTCAAGCAATAATAGTAATATATGCATTCTTGCATGCATAGAGATTCAAATGTAGAAAACCTGTTAATGGGCAGCCTAAACTTGGAATCAACCATTATCTTGGCACCACAGATCAGCCATAGTCGACCGTCAGACCCGAACCATGTGATTGCCAATGGTTGAGTCTAGAGCTGACCCGCCATTTTATTACATATTGAAGGGTGATCATCTTCAGTGCCGGTTTTGTGATTTTCGAGGCATGAGGCGAACTTTATAAATTAGGCCCCTCAAAATTTTTTTTTTTTTCCCCTTTATTCCTATGTAGCCATGTCCATGGCCAACATGATCTTTAACTAAAGTCTGTAAGCATGGACGTAGCTAGGATTTCAATCTTGCAGGGCGAAAATATGGGGGGTGGACCCCCTCTCGCCGCCCCCAAAATTTTTTTTAACTAAGAGGATTAAAACCGAAAGAAATACGAAGCTATAGAAAATCAATAAAAAAAAAAATTTAATAAAATATTTAGGAATATATTTCAAAATCTCAGATTGTAGAAGGTAAATTATAACAAAAAATCAAATATCTTGATACGCAAAAAAATTGAAATCAAATGAGATTAATAATAATGCCCTAAAATATATATTTAACAAAAAAATATTTATTGAAAATTAAATATAATAATCATCAAAAAATGAAAGAAATATGAGTTAGAGAAAACAATGAAAAAATTCAAGAAAAAAAGTAAATTTAATAATTTTCAAAAAATATTATAATATGACATTGATACAAATAGTATTTTTTGGAATCACGTAATAGGTTTTCTCATCACTCAAGTGTATTTGATAATTTTTGTGATGCTAAATGTTGATATCAATTTTTTTTCATTAATGAATTTAAGAAGCAAATTTTTGTAATATGTTTGGTTATCTAAATAGTAAATACACGAGCTATGAGCGTGTGTTTGAAAATTGAAACTCTTCCATATCACTGTTGAAAGTCTTAGAAAAATTTGCCCTCAGCACCAGATACATGAAAAGTAAGTTCAAGGGCATAATCGAAAAGTAAAAAATTCTGAAATTGAACTGACACAAGGCAGACCGCATGGTATTCTGTTATGCTAGGATAATGCAAGTATGACCGGCTTTTTCCCCCCCACCTGGCCCCACAATTGTTGAAAAGTGGGTGGAAAAAATGTTTTTTTTATATGAGGCCTCCTCTGATTTTGGGCCCGAGGCGGGGGCCTCACTCACCTCGGCCCAAAACCGACCCTGGTCATCTTTAATGAAGATAAATAGCATTACTTAAGAACAATTTTCTCAGAAAAAAAAAAAGGATTCTTTGTTTCTTTCTTGTCATCAAAGCTTAATAAATAAAAGAGCACTCATCAACTCGACCAAGTAAAAATGGACCTGTTCGGGCCCAACTCTAGATGTCCAAAGCACGCCTAGACGTTTGACAAATTTATAAATGGTCTATAAAAATGAATAATATTGAGTCTGAAATATGTAGATAATAACTAGTAGTAATTATGAAAGTATTGATTGAAATTATTGTTTAGTTTTGATAAAATTTGTATCCCAAAGCAGGCTTAAGTTCTTAATTGGGAGAGCTGGCAAGGACATGGTCTTGATGTGTGCCAAGGCCAGCAATTCAAATGGCAAGCCAAGCCAGGCCCGGACACATGCAAAATAAAGAAACACGTGCTCGATGGATAAAGATTTAAATAAAATTAAATAAGTTGGAAAAAGGTCTTGGTTTAACGATCCTTCTAGATATACCTTTATGCCGTGGGTGGGGTGGGGGAGTCTTGGAGAAAACTCACTGAAAGATATCCCAGCAACTCTCCAGACCTTGAGCCAGTGGCCTAAATCCATCTTTCACCGACACATTTCTGTAAACTGGTCCTACTGATGGCCTACCATCTTTGCCTTCTTTTTCCTAGTCGATCTCCACAATGAACTTCTTTTCTGCCATATTCTTTCAGCTGCAACTCTGAATGTGTTACAATCCATTTTTTTTAAGGTCAAAAGTCAAAGGGGAATTGTCAAAGTCATGGTCAAATATGACTTAAATGGAGCAAATCATTTGATTGGGGTTATTTTACAATTGATAATATATGAGGGTTTAAGATGGATAAAATTTAAAGTTGAGGATTTACTTATACATTGAATGAAAGGTGGAGGACTTCCTTTGAAATTATGACTTAATGCTCCAATAATTAGCATTTTTTAAACCCATTTTCATTCTCATTCCCCAACACACGCAGAAGCAGAAACGGGCAGAAAGGAAAAAAAGAAAGGGAAGAGAAGGAAATAGGAGAAGAAGGAAGAGGAGGAGAAGAAAAAAAAAGGGGTATGCTTGGCTATTCAAACTCCTAATTTTCTTCAAGAGGTAAAGTAGTAACATTTTTACGGGATAATTTATGTTGAATTTCTAGGGTCTAATTTTCAGATTAAGTTGAAGGAGTACCATTGTTAGTTCAAATTTCTTGATTAATTATCTTCCATTTGCATGAAGGTAAGAAATTTTATTTTGGGCAAACTCTAGAATTTTTATTTAGATTCTTGAATGAAGTATTTTTGGTGGAATGATTGTGATGAGTAAATACTTACTTGGAAGTATGAATTTATGGAAGAAGATGAAAATTCTATGGGTTAAATTATAATTACTAGTTGTTCCTAGATTGAAGTGGGTAGTTGCATTTTTGCTTGGAATGAAGCTTATGTTGATGAATTAGTTATTAGAAAATGGATTAGAAAGTGTAATTAGTTCCAATGGATTAAAGGAATAATTTGGGAGATTTATTCAAGTATCGAGAAATTTAGTTGAAGTATNAGAAATTTAGTTTAAGTATTATAGCATTAGATATTAAAGGTTTTTTGATTCGATAGTTGTTAAATTGGTTATCTTATATGGTATTTCAGGTGGTGACAAAGAGATTGAAAAAGTTTACCGAACGTCATAGTCTGTAGCATGTTTTATGTGAGTGGAAAAACTTATTTTTCAGATTAAATTTATATCATATCCAAAAGTTATTTGTTTCATATACTTGATTTGACGGCATGATTTCTAGAATCAAACGGATTTTATAGTCAGTTCTTTTAAAATTAAATTCAGTTCATTTAATCATTTCTTTAGAATGTTATATTTATATTATATGTTTTAGTATATCTAAAGTTATTTTAAAAACCACCAGAAAGTATTCAGGTGATTTTATCCCAGTTTGCACTGGTGTGAATGTGTTTCCATAATGTATGAGTTCATATGCTTATTTTATCCGTTCTGCACTATTGTGAATGTGTTTCCATAGTGTATGACCATAGTATAGCTCTACGCGCGTATGACCAGAATTACAGAATTTCAGAATTGAATAGCTTTGCCATGTATATCGATACTAATTGATACATGAGTAAGGTTATTCAGAGTACCTTTTTGGTGTGATATTTCAGTATTTCTTCCGCTGATTTGATTAGTTATAGAATTCAGATTATTCAGATTTTAGTATAAAGCTTTCAGCTTATAGTATTAAACAACAAAATATTTTTGAGGATATTATTTTGTAATCATATTTAAGTTTTTAAAAGTATTATCAGATTTCAGAATTGCTCAAAGTTTCAAAAGAGTTTCAATTTTTCAGAAAATATACATAAATGGAAGAAAAATATATATTTATTTATGAACTATCCACTCATTGAGTTACGAGCTAATATATTTTGTCACCTCTTTTCTTATCAGATAGTAACAGAGTTGAGCAGCATCGGAGCCTGTTGATCTACTGAGTTGAGCCACCCTTTTGCCTTTCATTGTATGATTCATTTTGTTAACTTACTTAATTCAAATTTCTTTTGGGATGCACGTATTTTGTGTCAGAAAAGTTAAATAGTAGTACATGTATCCATATCATGGGCTCACTACATATTGGGTATCTTGAGAGTACATTTGGAAACTTTTGTTGTAAAATATTTGTAAAGGTCGACTTCTCAGTATTGTATTTTGAATAGTTTGAGTTTTAAGGGGCTGGTGTTCCCTGTTTTAAATTATATGTATTGGTTGGAGAATTTTGATTATTGTTCAAAGTGGTTTTAGTCCATATTATAGGGGAAACTTTGTCCAGTTTAAACAGGTCATAGTCGCCTTGATGGTGGGTCCGACACTTAGCTGGTATCTATCATCGGTGCACGACACGTGTCAGATCCATTAGAGTGACTTGAGATGGGTCGTGTTAGTTGGTATCAGAGCATGTTCATAGAGTCAACTTGCATTATCTATTTCGATTTCTTTCTTAACATATCATGCACATTTTGTAGTTGGAGATCATGGTTCGTGGGCGTAAGTCTCGCAGGCTCCAGGATATGACTCCTCAACCTCAAGTTACTCCTAACAGAGAGGATATTAGAGAGGGGAATAGGGGTGGGGAATCTATTCATCAGACTCATGAGCAGCCACTACATGGGGATATAGCTCAGGCTGACCTTATAGCCGATAGGGTTGCTGCAGCTATCAATTCTGCTTTACGCGGTTCCGATAAAGAACGTAGTATTGGGCGAGCAATTAAATTAGGAGCTAAAGTATTCACAGGAACAGCTGATCCAGCAGAAGCCGAATCTTGGCTGGTAAAGATTGAAAGAGTATTTGATGTTATGGGTTGTCCACAGAATTGAATAGCTTTGCCATGTATATCGATACTAATTGATACATGAGTAAGGTTATTCAGAGTACCTTTTTGGTGTGATATTTCAGTATTTCTTCCGCTGATTTGATTAGTTATAGAATTCAAATTATTCAGATTTTAGTATAAAGCTTTCAGCTTATAG